TGGTGTTACTGGTGTGGACAGAAGAACAGTTGTTGGTAAGGGGGTGGGGGCATTGGTGAGGACTTTGTTGTGGTCCTGCTTGTGTTCAGGATGAAGGTGGATGATGTGTGAGCTTCACTCAGTATTCTGAGAAGTTTGATGCTAAAGACGTAGCTAACATTGGCAACAATTGAAATTTAACTCAAATTATTGTTTTATTTTACCATACCATACCATACCATACCACTTTATTTATAAAGCACTTAAAACAGCAACAAGGCCAACCAAAGTGCTGTACAGACAGAACAACAGGTAACACACAAAGCAATATACAAAATAAGGTAAATCCGAATATTGACATAAAAACGATGCAGATAATGACGACAAAAATTTTAAACCTAGTTTTATTAATGCCTAAACTCAACTGCAGAACAAATATGTAAAATTATAGTAAGAAAAATCTGTTAATGCTTAAAAGTTTTTATAAAAAGTTTTTACATTTCTTTTCTTTCTTTCTTTTTTTTTTTTGTAAAAACTAGTTAATGATTAAGAAAAAAGTTCCATAAAAATTTGAAAATACGCACCAAAGGCCGAGACACAGCCTACTGCATTTTTCACACGCTATTGATGGTAATCAAGCAAACTGACAGCTACTATGTGATTTATGGGCAGATTTTATTGAAGAATCCTAATTTTTTTTAAAACACCTAAAAAGACTGCCATCTAAAGTGAAAACATATTTAAAATATAATTGATACCCATGTACTTGATGAAAATCTACATCTGCATGTGCTTCATGGAAGAGTGCTTGCATTGCAAACATTTAATCGAAGAATATGAAGAAGTGCTGATGCATCCAGCTGTTTTTAAAGCTGCCACTTTCAGGAACTTTTGACCCATGTTTGCTCATTGAAGGAAATGCATCTGTAGCTATGCTAACTGCTCTGCAGAATGGTAATGAGGTGTTAAGGTCCTAAGCTAGAGCCTGAGGCGAGGCATTCTCAAAGTGCTGAGGATACTGGAGATAAAAATAGAAGACCGAAGCTGAAGGGACACTTGTTTCCATCACTTGGTGGGATTTGCCACTTCAGACCCCTCCATTCTTATAAGGCTATTGTTGCACAGACTCATAAACACGCAGACCTTTTTAAAAAGTGAACTGACACAGCTTAACATCGAGGGTGCTGCTTCCAAATCAGTCATCCCAGTGTTGACAGGTCATCAAATTTGTTTTATTGGCTGTTTTCTGATGTTGTGCAGCCATTAATATTCAGCTACATAACATTCACAGTGAAGCTTTAGATCAGGCAACATGTTGGAGGTTATAAATTATACAGAAGATTTCTGTCTGGAAAGTGTCTACCAACAGGAATGAGTCAGTGTTTATGGAACGAGGCGTCACAATCAAATGTTACTGGTTAAAAGAGTCGCTCTAACAACAGATTTTTCCCAATCTGTTGTCAGTCAACATATGTTTTAGGAATGACTCTCAGCTACTACCACACCCAATTTTAACTTGGTCTCTGTAAAATTGGTTGAGCTGTAGCCATTTTTGAGTTGGCTTAGATTGCCTAGCTGTGGCAGCCATCCTGATCGCTGTTGACCCCAAAATATCATCCATTTTAGATGCACATAATTATTTTCTGAGAGTTCCATTAAAATTCATCCAGGAGATATTTCTCTACTGCCATAGACACATGCACCCCCCACCCCCCACCCACCCACCCACTACCCCACACACAACCAAAAACATTTTCACCTGTTGCCTTCACTAGCATAAGATAATATCAATGCCCAAGTTTCATGATGGTTCAGTTGTTTAAAATATTTCATCTAAGTTCATGCTCAATAAACCAGGTACAAATACAACAGTGTTGTCAGGTCATATGGACGGTATTTTTTTGTTTTTCTGAGATGTTGCATCCTTCATCCAAAGGACATCATCAGTCCAAGGAGCCACAAACAAACTGATTCCCACAAGCAGCACACTCCCACAGCAGGAAAAAACAGTTTGCTGGTGTTTAAAATATTGTTTTGACACATTCTGCCGTCTTATATTAAGTCACTACAGTGGCCCATGTTTATATCTATTTTTTTTTTTTTTCAATGAGCACATACAGTTAGTCATCAGTTAATCAGTTAGTAATCTGCAGTTTTTGCACTAGATGTCTCTAAAACCTGCGCCTTGCTCCTTAGGTGTTCATTTTTGATCAAGCAAGTGAGTTTTGTACAAAATGTGCTGTAAATTACAATTCAGTTTATTCAGTTCAGTTTATTCTCTCACACACACACACACACACGCACGCACGCGCACTCACTCACACACACACACACACACACACACACACACACACACACACACACAC